CTCCTTCGCGTGTCCTGGAAGGGAGTTAGGGTTCAGGAGCAGGCTGGGGGTTGGAGTGCAGGGTCTGGCCAGGAGTTAGGATGTGGCAGGGGGCTCAGAGCTGAGGGTGCAGGGTCTGGAAGGGAGTTAGGGTTCAGGAGCAGGCTGGGGGTTGGAGTGCAGGGTCTGGCCAGGAGTTAGGATGTGCGAGGGGGCTCAGGGCTGAGGGTGCAGGGTCTGGAAGGGAGTTAGGGTGCAGGAGCAGGCTGGGGGTTGGAGTGCAGGGTCTGGCCAGGAGTTAGGATGTGGGAGGGGGCTCAGAGCTGGAGCAGGGGTTTGGGGTGTGGAGAGCTTACGTGGGGCAGTTCCTGTTTGGTGCTCAGGGTGGGAGTGGGAATGTGGGGGGGTGCAGGAGTCAGGGAGGGCAGGGGGCTGAGGTGCAGGAGTCAGGGAGGACAGGGGCTGTATCAAGGGGAGCAGGAATCAGGGCTGGGTGTGTGTGAGCGGGTGCAAGTGTCAGGGAGGGCAGGGGGCTGTGTGTGTGTGAAGGGGGTGCATAAGTCGGGGCTTGCATTGTGGGGCTGGGGGATATATGTAGGGGGAGCGCGGGGGCCCCTTTCCACCCCTTTCCCAAGGACCCTTCCCCACCCCTGCTCCACCTCTGCCCTGACCCCATCCCACCCCTTCCCCAAGTCCCCACCTCCCGAGTGTGCTGCAGCCCCGCTCCTCCCCCTCCCTCTTGGAGCATCCTGAGTGCCAGCAAACAGCTGTTTGGCGGCCGGAAAAGTGCTGGGAGGGTGGGGGAGGAGGGGGGACATGGCGCGCTCTGGGAGGGGGGAGCTCAGCTGCCAGTGGGGGTGGGCGGAGCCTGCAGCAGGAGTCCCAGGAGCCGGCAGGACCAAGCTTCTGCCCCTGCAGCTGCCCAGCCCTGGGGCCCCCTGTCATTGAGGGGTCCCGTCCCAGGGCACCCTGTGTTTTATGGTAAATCCGCCTGGGCGAGGGGCAAGGGCACAGCAGGGCATGGGGGAGAGGATTAGTTCCCAGCTGGAGCAAGGCAGGGGCCGGGGGCAAAAGCAGAGGGGGTGGGAGTTAGGGTTGGTCCCTGGAGCAAGGGAGGGCCAGGGATAAATTGTGAGCACAGCAGAGCCGGGGAGGGGGTAAACAGGATCCCCCCCACACCGCTACCCACATAGAGCGAGTAGCTACCTTCTCCCTGGTCCTAGCCCCCCACCCTTCCTCTGCTGCAGAGGAGCTGAGCGACAAGCAGGGACTCTGTCCCTCCACTCCACTCCGGGCGGCAGGCTGACAGTCCCTGGCTTTGGGCTGCCTGAGCCCAGGGGTTTACAGCTGAGACGCCTGAGCAGATACAGGAGTCTCTCTCTGGCCCAGAGTTAAGTGTCTAATTACCTTTGAGGGGCAGGGCTTAGGCCCCACCCCTTTCAACGGCATTTCATTTTGGCTCCCTGCTCAGCATGCTGGCTTCTGTGAATCCCATTCCTAGGTGTCTACGCTCCCCATGCATTATAAAGGGAGCCTGGGATCCTAGCTCAGGGCTGAGGAGTCCAGTGAGCGGCAGGGCACCTAACAATTATGTGTTGCAATGCTGAGTGTTGCAACGCCTAGGTCCCTTTGTGGATAACAGGCCTTAAACAGTGAATTACCATACCACACACATATATACATCTATTGGGGTTGGTCCTGCTTTGAGCAGGAGGTAGGACTAGATGACCTCCTGAGGTCTCCTCCTACCCATATCTTCTGTGATTCTATGACTTAGCCCCCCACTGTCTATCTCTGGTGGCCATTCCAACTCCATACAGTTAAGGACTCTCTGCCATGGCAGACCACAAATCTCCTGCATATTTACAGATCTGAGGCTCCCCACTGACACTGAAGTTTCAGACCTACCAAGGAGTAACAATGAGTGCAAAGACCAGCAAACTAAAAAACAGAATCCAACAATAAAATACAATGCCATGTGATACCTTCGCTAAAAAAAAGAGATAAAAATCAAGTTAATTTCTGGCCTCTCAGGTCACCCATCTGCCTTGAGAGAAAACCCAGTTAACAATGTGAGAACCTCTCTACAATTTTACCCCTTCTCCTTGCACCCCTGTTCCCACATTCACTTCCTGATTGGATTGATGTCCCAATAAAATCAACTAACCAACTAATCAATTTTGGGCTTTCCCTCTCCTTCAATAAATATATTCCTCTCCTCTGAGTAGCTCCTAATGCTGCAACTCCTATCATTGTTCCTCTGCTCCCAGTGAAAATGAGCAGACAGTCACCACTCTGCTTTCTCACACCCTACTCCCACCTGGGAAAAATAAAGAGCTGAGAAATCCTGGTGCCCTGCTCCCCACCTCCCTGTCACAGGCCTCCCAGCCACTCTTTTCACTGCTCACTCACTTCATTGTCATGGGCCTACTGCTTCCTGGTCACAGGTCCCTACCAGGAGAGTGACATCTTAGACAATTCCTCATTCACTCTACCTCGTCTTCCTCCAATTTGGGACACTCATGCTGCTCCTGAGGTGGGGATGGAGCTTTGCAACTCACATTCTAGGATTACTCTGATTCTGTGCCAAGAGGATTGAAAAGGCAGCCCGTATGCATGTTCTGACCTCAGTACCACTCTATACTTTCAATGGAGAGAGGAGCTCTTTTAGGGCCTGACTACACTGGAGCTCAAAGTGTAATGTCCAGCTTGGGTAGATACACCCAGGCTAGCTTTGATCAAGCGAGCACACTAAAGGTAGACGCTAGCTGCAGTGGTGTGGGCTAGCTGCCTGAGTACCTACCTAGGATCTCAGATGGGATTGTACTCAGACATCCCACGACCCCTGCCACTGTGGCTACACTTGTATTTTTATCACACTGGATTGAACAAAGCTAGCGTGCCTATGTCTACTCAAGCTTCAAATTACACCTCCAGCTCCAGTCTACATGTACCTGGAAGGGCTGAGGGCAACCAGCCCCACCAGCACCTCCCTCCAGAGACTGCGCTCTAAGGTACTGCTATAAAGAAGGTGGGAGCACTGCCAGACTCTCCTTCCTCTCCTTCCCCACCCCACCCCATTCCCTCATATGGCTGCTGGAGAGAAGGGAGAAAAGAAAAGTATATGCTGTAAAGCAGTGGTTCTAACCGGGGGTTCGGGGCCCCCTAGGGGGCCTTGAGCAGGTTTCAGGGGGGGCCTCCCAGCAGGGCCAGCACTAGACTCGCTGGGGTCCAGGGCAGAAAGTTGAAGCCCTGCCACCCAGGGCCAAAGCCCAGCTCCCTGAGCCCTGCCACCCAGGGCTGAAGCTAGAGCCTGAGCAATGTAACTTCGTGGGGGTCCCCGTGATGTGGGGCCCCAGGCAACTGCCCTGCTTGCTACCCCCTAATGCTGCCCCCGGCTTTTATACGCAGAAAACCAGTTATTGTGGCACAGGTGGGCTGTGGTGTTTTAATAGCATGTTGGGGGGAGCAGGGGAGCTCAGAAAGAAAAAGATGGAGAACCCCTGCAGTAAAGGTTAGTTAAAGAAATAGAAGAGGGGGATTAGTTTATTAGCTTTAACTCCATTAACCCCTAATTACTAGCCACCAATGGATTTTTTCTTTCAAATTATGAAGATTTTACATCATTAATTCCATCTATCTGGGAATATCTAACTTCTGAAAGTCATGAGAATCCTATTTTCATTTTGTTTTACAGAGAAAAATAAAGCTTTGCAAGGACTCCTTTCTAAGCTAAACCTGCAGGAATACCAAGGCACGAAGCTCGGGCTGCGGGATGTCCTGGAAATTGGCTCAGAAAGTAAAGAAAACTGGACTCCTCAGATGTTAGAGGATTTACCTTGGCATTTCCTGAGGAAACTAATGACTCTGAATGGGACAGCCAGAAACACAAGCCTTGGACATAGAGCATGTGATGATGAAGGCGGCAGTGAGGAGGCACAGATTGCAGGTGGAGATGTTTTTAGTTTTAGTGACACTGACATCAGAGAGTCTCTGCACCCCCTCGATCTTCTCTGTGCCGTTCTGCTTTGCTCGGACAGTTTCCTACAGCAGGAGATCCTGTCCAAAATGTCCATGTGCCAGTTTGCCCTCCATCTGCTGCTACCCGCCCTCGACACCCCCAAGTGCACCCTAATGCTGTGGGCCATGAGGGACATTGTGAGCAAGTGGAGGCCGCACTCCGTGGCAGAGAGCAGAGGGTTCAGAGAGGAGGGCCTGGTGCTCACGTTACTGCCAACCATTTCCTTTGTGCGGTTGGGGAGCTGCAGCTTCTCCAAATCCAGACTCCTCAATGAGGTTCTCAGCCCCTCCGAGCAGCACCACAATTTCTTCATCCATCATGACATGGAGTCTGGGAATGTCCCTCGGGAAATCGCAGATGGGCTGGTCGAGATTTCCTGGTATTTCCCTGCTGGGAGGGAGAATTCAGACCTTTTCCCAGAGCCCATCGCAGTTACAAACCTGCGCGGAGACATTGAGTCCCACTGGCTGCAGTTCAGCTTTATAACTGTCGTCTCTTCAGCAGTGTTCATAGTTACTGAGAGCATCAGTGAGAGGCAATATGCATGGTTATCATCTCTGCAGGGATCAGCCACTAAATACTACTTCATTCTCAATTGCAAGAATGGAAATCCCAAGGAAACATTGGGATTCCTTAATAAGTTGGCTCCAGTGCTGAATCTGAGCAAATCACAACTACTGAAGAAAGACAGCACCACAAATAATGCAGGATTTGTGCAAAAACTGAAATCTGCCATAAAAAACATAACGAGTTCACATCCCAAGAGAATGAATTTGGAAGCCATGGCTGTGACCGCACGTGAACTAGGAATCCAGGTAGATGAGGACCGAAAGGAATGTCAGAGTGCAAGCAAGTGGGCTAGAGAAATCACTGTGAAAATAAAAGATGTGGCAAAGTACAAGAGGGAAATGCTGAGGCTGCAGGGGGATCTCTGGGAAAAATTGGCTAAAGTGGAAAAAGAACTGTGCAGAATGAGAAGGCAAGGGGAGACGGCCACCGAAGAATATAAATGTCAACTGAGAGAGAAACGGTTGGAATTACGTAGACAGCAGGATCAATGTGACCTTACTGATGGATTGATTACATTTGTTAAGGGAATAGAACAATTGCCTTCAGTGGAGAAACATTACTTTCTGAAATGGATGAAGTTTAGCCTGGATCACATTGCTCGAGATAATCTTTTTAAACTACGGGATCAATATAAAAGGAAAAGTAAAATGGCAGGAGATGACCCACAAGCGCTAGCCATGCTGCATAAATTAATATCTACCACTTCCTTAGGGGTTGAGCATTTCATGCATGAGCTGGGGCAGTTTTATGAAGCTGAATGCTCAATGGTTAAAGAAGGAGACAAGACAGAAAGCCAAAGACAATTCATCCATCTCCCAGGCATAGCAGCTGACCTGATGCTGGAAGGGTTTCCTATGGAACTGCTAGATGGAGATTCATCCACCATCCCACTGCAGTGGGTAACAGATGTTCTGACTCAGCTCCATGCCAAGCTTGGGGGAAGGTCCAGAATGGTGGTTCTAACGGTGCTGGGAGTGCAGAGCACTGGGAAATCCACTCTCCTCAACACCATGTTCGGCCTGCAGTTTGCAGTGAGCAATGGCCGATGTACGCGAGGAGCCTTCATGTCACTCATTAAAGTGGCAGAGAACTTTCAGCAGGAGCTGGGCTGTGATTTCATCCTGGTGATAGACACAGAAGGCTTGAAAGCCCAAGAACTGGCCAGGCTGGAGGACAGTTATCAACACGACAATGAGCTGGCCACCCTGGTGATTGGGTTAAGTGACATAACCATCGTTAACATGGCCATGGAGAATGCCACAGAAATGAAGGATGTTCTGCAAATTGTGGTCCATGCCTTTCTCCGAATGGAGGAAATAGGGCAAAAACCCAACTGCCAATTTGTACATCAGAATGTCAGTGATGTGTCTGCGCATGACCAAAACATGAGGGACAGGAATCACCTCCTAGATCAGCTGAATGAAATGACCATAGCTGCAGCTAGGATGGAAAACCAATGTAAAAAAGTGAATTTTTCATGTATTATGGACTATGATGCA